CTAATCTCATAGAAGAGCTTAGAGAGGTACGAGGTGTGGTTACGAGCGTTAGTCAAAAGGAGACTGAAAGCAGCCAACCTGACATCAAAAAGGTCAGCTACTGGTCACAAGATAACTTCAGCCTAGAAGCAAAGACGACTAGAATGTGCTAGCGAACATCTGGATTGGGACGACTATCAATGGAGTCAGGTATTATTCTCCGACGAAAGTAATATCTGCCTACATGGCAACGACAAGAGGCGTCGAGTCTACAGAAGGTCAGGGGAACGATTTGCAAATTGTCATATGGAGGCGGTTCTTGTATGTTTTGGGCAGGCATTTCCATGGATGGAAAACCGAGCTGGTTTTCATGCCTGGTGGAGGACGTGGAGGAGGTTTAACGGCGGATCGTTACATCAGAGATATTTTGGAGGAAAATGTGGTTCCATACGCGAGATTTATTGGTAATGCTTTTATTTTATTGCATGATAATGCATGATGTCATACCATACGAGTCACCACCACCTATCTGACTGAGATCGGTATACCTGCAATAAATTGGCCTGCGTTGAGTCCGGACATAAATCCAATAGAGCATGTTTGGGATGAGCTTAAACGAAGGGTTCGGAGCAGAAATCATGCACCAAGGAGCATAATGGAATTGAGAGCTGCGCTTAATGGTGAATGGGAAGCAATGCCTCAATAATTTATTAGAAAAGTCATCCGATCCATGCGAAATCGATTGGAAAGTGTAATTAGGAATAGGGGTGGTAATATCAGATACTGAAAAACAAAAAAAATCATTTTGTAATTGATGATTTCTCTGTTCATTACGTCTTTTTTGAGATAGTTCCAATGATGAATATTTGAGAAACTCTGTTCATATTGCATACTGTTTTTAGAATGCGTCTTCCAAATAATGAAATAGCAGTTTTTGTAAGTTCAATAATAAAGTTACTATTTGCACATTACATCTTGTTATTGTTATACTTCTTACATTAAAATAGAAGGTGTAATCTCAAATATCGCTTTTGAGTCGGTTGTTTTGCACCTAAGTATAGATATTATGTCATAAAATTTTTAGTTTCAAGAGAGTTACAATTATTATTTTTTCTAAATCTACTATTTTGTGGAATATTGTACAGTCAGAGGTTTGAAGTGAAAGATAAAAGCTATATATATATATATATATATATATATATATATTATATATATATATATATATATATGAAATAACGAGAAGTCAAGACACTCTCTGATAGCAAATTAGGTGAACCGCAAATTCAAAGCCTCTTGCTAGAGGCTTTCAACGACGCTAGAAGTACATTTTTACTTCGACATGCATCTACGATTCACCATTGAAATTTACCATCTTTTTTCACTCTTTACGATAGAGAAAGACGTTTAAATGAAAGTAAAAGATTGCATTTCATTTCGATCGGAACTCCACCATAGCCCGACACGTGTTTCGGGTTATTCAACCCATCGTCAGGAGCTCTTGTGGAAGTTTAACCGAAATGAAATGCAGTCTAGTAGTTGGCCATTATATATATATTTTGCTATCAGAGAGTCTCTTGACTTCTCGTTATTTCATATAGATGTCGCTGCTAGCGTACCCTGGTTATTATTTTAGTTATAATGGCCAACTACTAGACTGCATTTCATTTCGGTTGAACTTCCACAAGAGCTCCTGACGATGGGTTGAATAACCCGAAACACGTGTCGGGCTATGGTGGAGTTCCGATCGAAATGAAATGCAATGTTTTACTTTCATATATATATATATATATATATATATATATATATATATTATATATATATATATATATATTGAAATGATTTCAATATGTTAAAATATATACAACTTTAATGGATTTTTATATGAGTTTGTTGTTTATGAATTTCATGAAGCCATCACAATGTGGGTTCGACTCTGAAATAAAAGAGAGAAAAAGATTAGTAAATTGTTAAATAAATTAATTTTGACTTACCTGGTATAGTGTTAATAATTTCTGAATAGTATAGTTGCCTAGTGTTTAGGTGAATCGTCTAAACCTTAAAAGAACAAAAAAAGAAGAATTTTAAAAAAATATTTAAACATAGAAATTTTAATAAACGTCAGAAAATAAACTGCTTGACAGTTTATTTGACAGTCTGTGGGAGCTAAATTAATAGGGGTTTTGTTAAATAAGAAATTACAATGATGTGGAGATGAAAAGAATAAATTAGTATTGTAATAGAATAAGTTTTATATCTAAACATTTTTTTTTGTAAATTCCCAAATTATATGTGATTAAAGTGATTATGAGAAAGTAATGTGGCTTGACAAATATGTCAAACAGGACAGTTTTATGGTTTAAAATATTTAAATAGAAGACAGAAAAAAAAAGAACGTTGGTTGCTGTTAGCAACGGAGAATAATGGGAATTGGTTTTTTGGAGAGGACGCCGACGAGGTTTTTTGGACGAGGGAGAGCCCTGAAACTGTGGAATAGGTCGGGAGTGTTTTTTAACTCGTCTAATTAGAATTTAGTTTTTCCACAGTTTCCACAGCAGAGATATCCAGAAATTTGTTCCAGAGAGTAAGAGAAACAATTTCACTTATAAATTATATTGGAGTATAGAAATGTCATTTAAATTGAGAAAATTAAAATTCATGAATTAACATAATTGCGATAGGCCTTAAAAATTGAAATTATTAATGATCATTAAATTAAAAATAGAATAGTACGTACCTTAACTTCCGAAGAGAGGATTGATATTCCAGTTTCACCGATTATTTTTGAGTAGTTAGTTTCCTTTAAAGAAATCAGAACTGTTTTAAAGTGAGGTTGGACAATAATTTTGGGGATCATTTGAAATTTTGATTATATTTGAATAGTCAGCGGAATAAAGTGTTCATTTTCTTTTTCTTTATAGTTCATTTAAACACTTTATAAAGTTGCAATATTTATTTAGTTTTTAGGTACCTACTTGTAAAAAGTCTCCACATTTTGTAATACATTTTTATTGTCACGTCACTAAACCACGTTAAGACTTAAACGATTCCTATTTTTGTAAATTTTTAAAGGCAACCGAAGTTGCAGACGAATTTTATTGTTTATATTAAATTTGTTCAATATTAATAACGTGCTTCATTTGGGTAAATTTATCAAAGGTCTAAAGTAAATTTTGGTTTAATTTCTTTTTGAACTCTACCAGGAGACTACAGAGTCGACGTCACACAGTGACATATTGCTTAGAACATATAATTGAGCTAGCTGAGGTATATATTAAATTAAACAACGAACCACATATTATAAAAATTACATTTATTATAAAAAAAAAATAAAATTAATAAAATACAACATTATCAATATATATATATATATATATATATATATATATATATATATATATATATATATATATATATATATAGCTATATAATGAATTTAAACAAAACAAAAGTCATGCACTCCGAAGACACCGTGACAATAATAAACGATAAAGTTATGGAAAAATTTGAAGAATATATATACTTAGGACAAAAAATAATCCTAAATAGGGAAATTCAAACTGAAGAAATAAAAAGAAGAAGAAATTTGGCTTGGGCAGCATTCGGTAAACTGAACTATATACTCAGAAATCAACAAATTCAATTACATCTTAGATCTAAAGTTTTTGATGCATGCATTATTCCGATATTAACTTATGCGCACAAATATGGACAATCACAAAAAAGAAATATATTTAGAGTCACTCAACACGCGATGGAAAGAGCAGTGCTAGGTATATCACTTAAGGACAAGAAAAAAAACACATGGATAAGACAGAAAATCAAAGTCACCGATGTGGTGCAAAAATCATTAAAGTTGAAATGGGAATACGCTGGACATGTAGCTAGGAGCGATCTAAACAAATGGCACAGATCAATTTTAACCTGGAGACCATACCAACACAAAAGACCCAGAGGCAGACCTCCTATGAGATGGACAGATAATCTGAAAAGGACTGCCGGGAAAAATTGGCTACAAGTAGCGTACAATAAAAAACAATGGAAAGGAAGACTTGAAGAGGCTTATGTTCAGATGTGGACGTGAATGGCTAGACGAAGAAGAAGATATATATTTACATATATATATATATATATATATATATATATATATATATATATATATATATATATATATATATGCGATAAAACCAATTTTAGATTTTAAAGGACGTCAACAGTATCCAACATTTTGTTGTAGAACATGTTTAAATTGCTCTACTGAAAAATTACGTTTTTTGAGTTGTAACCATCGAGCAAAAAGACAATAGAGGGAATGTAAAGGTAGTGGGGGCAAACATATTGTTAGACAGGAAGTGCGATCTTTAGAGGCCACATTAAACAAGGAAAGAGAGTCTCTCTCCTTGTTTGACATCAAATTTAGTTGGGTTATGTTATTGTTTGTCCCAAATGTCACATGAAATCTTATTTATATTGAAGTTTTTTAACAATTGTGTCGCATTTTAGACTCTTATCATTAATAATTAATTTAAACTTTCTCGTCTAAGACACATTCTGCAAAATATTATATAGCTACTTTTGATAAGTGTCGGAAAATTTAAATTTGGCGCATTCGCATTTCCGGATATGTCCGCCATCAGAGGCCACTTTTTTGGTCTCCTTTTCATAAGGATTAGATTCCCTCTTTTGTCTTATTGCTCGATGGTTGTAACCCTCTTCTTCCGCATGGTCGATTTGATGTTTGACGGTTCGATTTCTACTTCTGATATCGTTTAAAAAAAATGTATAAAAACAAAGTTTTTCATTTCTGCAGTGGTTATACATTTTCGGAGAATTAATTTAAAATATGCTTTTTTATTAAACGATTTTCGGAGTGGTAATCGAAACGTCAAATAAAAAACTTAATTTTAAGTAAAGTTAAAAGTAAAATCCAAAATTTATATAAATCGTACTAGCTGCTTTCGAGATAATTGAGGCGTTCTGTACTTAAAACTCACTTTATGTTAAACATTTATTTTTCTTTTCAGGCATTCCTATTCTTCGAATAATGTTTCACGGATACTCCCACTTAAGCCAAATAAGCTTACCACTTTTGGTGTACCATCCTACTCAGATAATTTTAGGTGGTTTAGTCGTTCCTCAGTTGAAAGATTGGATGCATTCGCAGAGAGCAAAACGACCACCAGTGTAGATATCCATAGTGAATCATAAATAGAGAGCGCCGATAAATTATGACGTCCCTATAGTCCGACAATTTTTAATTAAAGGTGACTTATCTACAAATTGATCTAAACGGTAGCGGCAACCATGTAAAATATATCAGCAGTATTCTTACCGGGGGTCATTTTTATTGTGTATGCTTCGCGCATGTAAATAAGTGAAAAAGTAATGTAAATTTTCCCCCCGTAACAATATAAATTGATGCGATTCACGAGTGTATAGTGAGACAAGTTCATTGAATAGTTTGAAAGATTGGTAAACATCAATATTTTGCTGGTCTATATATATATATATATATATATATATATATATATATATATTTACTTTCTTAGAAATAATGGGAATGAGAGAATGATATTTTAGTTTATTCCTTCCAGATTATACATGTGCATAGGCGTAGTGTGTTCTATTTCTTGGGAATATATTTATTAAATATACTTCATTATTAACTTTAAAATAGTTTTGGGGTAAGTAAAGTAAATTTGAGGCAAGTTTATTCTTTTAGAATATGGGTTAAGAAAACATTAACGGGCGCTCAATATACAAATAGAAATTTGACAATTAATTTTTTAGATTGGATTAAAAACACATAAATAAAGAATAATTTGCAACTCACAAGATTTTTTTTCTCATTTTCAAGGAAAACAGTACAATTTTTAATAAAGGAACATATTGTATCTTAAATGGAAATTAAATTTTAAGGTGAAAATTTTCGAAACATTCGGGATCTAGATGCATTCACACCTTTTACATAAATAAATAGTATTACTTTTGTACATCCTACATTTTTGCGCTATCGTTTCTTTTTGTAATGTGGCCAATATTGTCGAATCTGGTTTCATCTGGTAAAGCAAATTTAGATTGACGTCCATGTACTAAGTTTGACACTGATGTAGCGGTTTCTTCACTATTATAAATTATAAATACAAATCTATGTTGGCTCATGCTTTCTCTTATAATGTGCACTTCTTTATCCTCATCCGTTGACTAATGCATATAAACTTGAAGCAGAGTGTAAACCAGATAATATACATATGCTAATATTTTTTTAAATCTGTTATTTATTTCCAAATCGTGACAGTTATTCTGGGATGCATAAATATTTGTAAAATATAGAATGCTCTCAATTACTTTTTTATCAAAAAGTAGTTAAAAAACTTCAATATATGACTTGCCCCATGGTTGGCTCTTATATTGTCTAAATATTAATCAGACTGATGTTGAATTACTACTGAGCACGAATGAGTATGTTGTTACAACTTGAGACAAAATTTGGATTTACTATTTTTGCCTGGTTGTTTCTTTGGACGTTTAATTTTTGGTTCAAAGGAATATCAGAATTGTCAGAATTCCTAATCACTTGTATTTCATATGTACCGGCAATAACCGGTTTTATTGATTCTTCACAAATAATATTATCATTAATGTCTTCTACATCAGAAACTTTGTAATCTAATCTCGGCGGCAAATAAACCACATTAAGTGAGTCAGCATTTTCACAATTTGAGTCTTCTTCTAACAAAGCTATTAACTCTTTAGTAGTTAGTGCCATCCTCATTTCATATTTCACGAATTTATTGAAATAAACAAATGTACTACTATATAAATGCATTCACATGATAGTTTAGCTTATTTTATTTTAATTTATGTGAACTTCCTAATATATTTTTATATTTATATAAACAAATAAACACAAGGAAACTTTCAAATTAATTAAAAAAAAAAAAAACAAATATAACGTTTACAGTACACAGTAATTCTATAAATAGAGAATGATGTGTAATGACAAGATCTATTGTTAAAATTTCAGATTGTTTTTAGTCTAATGAAAAAAATATGTATTTTCCAAAGTTTTCCGTTTTTTGAAGTTCTGTACTAGGTACTCTCTAATAAGAATAAAATTTTACATTATTTTGTTAGATAATTATAAGATACCTGTTAAAAGACACATGATAATATAATAATTATGTCTGTCTTACATTTAATTTTTACGTAATTACTTACGTGTTTAAATAAATAATTAAATTTTGTTTTGGTACGCCTCTGCAAAATTGATAAGTGGAATACGATTTCGTTGAAAAGTTATCGTTAAGGGCTACGTTAAGTGCGATGTTACCAAGTAATCACATTCAATTAAAAATTATTTTAGTATAGTTTTAACACGGTGGGGACGTAATAATGTTTTAAAATTAAAGTGTGGGTTTTGTAATATTTTCTTTGAAAGGTTTTTTTAATAATGTGTTTAGCCATACTTAACAGACTAATGCTTATATAGGATAATAAGAAGTATTTTAATTTAATCAGAATAATTTTAAAATAAGCGAACTGAAATATTTAGTTAAACAGTACATAATACTTTTCAGCTAAATTAAATGCTCAAAATGCCATCTACCGGTGTCTTGACAATAAGCTAATCGATGAACAAATTCTTGCACATTACCAATAACTCTCGGAGCAATTCTATGTCTATTTTATTGTTTATCTGCATTGATTATAAATATCACCATAGAAAAAAATAGGGAGGTTTAAGATCTGGAGATTTTGGGGACTAGTATTGGTTTTTGTCTACTAAACCACCTCATAAGAAAACACAGGTTTCATCATCATTTTTCGTTTTCATATTTTATTTAAATTCTCGTCATATTTCATAATTTTTTCACAATAAAACACAACGACCTTCTATCGCAACTCTACAAATTGGCGAACAGGTTAGATTGTAATATTACTGTAATTTATTTTATTAGTACATTTAGAACTAATTGTATTAATTTATTGCATTTATTTAATAAAATATTATTCGGGGACTATATTGTTTTTGTATAAGTCTATTTGCTGTGTTTCTTTTATGTAGATTTTAACCAATTGTAATATTTATATATATTAATATATATATATATATATATATATATATATATATATATATATATATATACTTTAGCGGTTAATATGGGCTCCGTACTAAAACGGTATTTATATTAACTCCAGGAAATATACGCCGTGTATATTCTTATCTGAGTAGCGCTTTATGTAGACTCTCGACCAATACGTCGGATCAAGTGGACTCCGTAATAGGATCAAACATTTTTGGGATCCGTATATAACTTTTCCCGACACTTCTTAACTCCTGCGATGTTGCCAATAATTGTATTAGTAGTAGATTTTAAATTTTATAGGTGCTACATTTTGGACCTATTAATATGAACATCGAGTATCGTAATCGTCTAACAGTTTAAGAAACTCTTCTGTAAGATCTTTATAATTTTTCAATTACTGCAGTTTATGGCGTGTAATAATTATTTCATGAAGTAGTTAAAATTAGACTATAATAATTTATAAATTAATCTTTAATATTATAATTTTTTGCTGTCTAATTTCAATATGTTGATTTTTAATTAACAAAATATTTGATGCATTAAAGTCGCGTAGCTATTTTCATCAAACATTCAATTTTAAAGCTATTAGTATAAAAGTCTAACAAAAGTATAAAAATCTAAGGAATTTTATATGGATACACACGTCAGTGTGCTTTTCTCAAGTCTCAAGTTTCTCGAATCCATCAATCATTCATTGTATTTCTTATCAAGATTTTAAAGCAGGTTTGCTCCATTAGTCCATTTTTATTACTTTTTGTCACTATTTCTCCTTTTTCATTATCATTATCATTACGTGGCGCAAAAACAACTGGGTGGGTCTTCGCTAACTACAAATTTTCTCCAAGTTGATCGATTTTCCACGAATCTGTAATCAAATGAAATGTTAATATTTTGAGATATAATTGGATGTTTTTCTCTCCATTGCTCACTGAGACGCCTAAGCGGCATTTCTTTCTTCTGTGCTAACTTCCTTCCATACCAGTTTTAAAAGTTTGATATATGGCGTCTATGCATGTGTCCGATCTACCTTAAGCGATTTATTTTTCTGAACAATATCGTTATAAAAGCTTTCTTTATTCCTTATGGGTTCTTATTCTATACGGATTTGTAGCGATATGATAATGAGGTTAAAACATTTTTCTAATTATTTTATTTTAAATATTCGTACTTCTTCCTTATTTTTTTTAGTCAATGTCAATGATTCGCATCCATGTATTAAAATAGGTCTAAAATTTGAATTATGCTAAAAGTATTTAGTTATTGACATTATTATTAAACAGTGATTATTTATCTAAGATATTTAAAGTGTTCCATATTTTTGAAATTGTAGTTGTTAACTTTAATATTTTATCTAGATTTATTAAATTGGTCTTTTCTGTTGATTTGCTTGTATTTGGTTTTCATTTCGTTGATTTTTCGTGCTCTCTTTACTTTATTGAGATGTTTGCGGACGGGAGAGTTTCTTATGAGATCTATGTCATTAGCATATGCTAGGAGTGCTTTGTACCTTGGGCCTTTAATGAATTACATCTTAAATAGGCAATATTTCCATTTTAGTAAGCTGTTCATTAATTTTTTGACTATTTGAATCGACAATCTGTATTTTATTCGACTGTTATATTCACAGAGTTTCTTGGCGCATATTTTCATTCTTGGGTTTTTGTTTCCCGTATCATTATTACAAAGATTTTTCTGGAGATCGACATAGGGAACCAGGTGGTATGTACATGATGTTTTCATAACCAACATCGAAAATTTGTCTTACTGTAAAGTCATAATGATTTTACTAGGAAATATAGTGTTGTTTAATAAATAATAAAGTTCAAGCAACAATTCCTATATGCAATACCTTGGTATGATATTTCTCTCCCCGATACCAAGTAGCAGTCCCGAAAACATTAAAACTGCTACACTCATGTTTCCTATTATCCAAAAAATTAGCCAGTCTAGGACTATACTGCCCTCATAAGTGAATAGAATATGTACGGAGGTTTTTGGCAATTTAATAGGATTTTGTGTATTAGAATATTATTTCTCCGAGAAAGTAAAGAATATTTATTTGCTATCCGAATATAATCCATAAATTAAATATTAGAATGCTATAAAATAATGCTACTAGCAGCAAAAACGGTATAATAGTCACTAATGAGAAAATCAAATAAATGTTTTTAACATACAAAAGAAAGGATATAGAGTAAGGCATAACGTAACAATAAAGCTATATAATTTTGAAAGATTGCAGCGTTTTAGATATCGTAGATAACATTGTCACATAAGAAATAAAAGGGAAAATTCAGGTAGCTAACTGATGTATATAGAACCCTTATAGCACTTTTTCATCCAGAAGCCTAATATAAATCTCTAAAATCAGGATATATAAAACAGTGAACCAGTGCTAATGTGTGGATATGTAACGAGAACGTATTAATTAGATCAGGATTGCTAGAAAAGCCATCAGAGGTATTTGCCGACTTACAAAGGTCCGAGTACTAACCAATACCGAACGAAACTAATGCCAAGGTCAAACACATATATAAAGACAGCAACGAATTACAAGAACCTAAACCTCAACTCCAAAGTTGCGCTGGCTTTATCCAAAGGCTCTTTCATTAACTGCATTCCCAAGTTAAATTGGTAGGATGCCCCGAGAGAAAAAATGACCTTAGGATGTCCACGGATGAAGGGCGCAGATTTAGAAATAATGAGACTACTTACCGAATCATCATATTTATCAACACCTGCTATCCTACCTACAATCAATACATATCTGTTGTGGACTATCAAATTAATTACATGTAATCAAACGAACTAGGCTTAAAAAAAGTATCCTAGGAAAGGCACTTCGGCAATATTGACATATATTTTTAAAACGCCATTTATGTGGCTGAGTTTGCAATAGGAATGAGGAGACAAAAAGAAAGAAATGGTAATAAAATCTTGTTGCGTTCCGACTATAGATGACGATGATCTCTATATAACATATAGGAAGAAATGGAGAATAATGTCTATGTTCAATTTAGAACTCGTTGGTTTTCTCCCTTTCGAATTGGGTATGTATATGTATTACCATAGAAAAAATCAAAAAAAAACTATAATTATGAAACTCTATCTAAAATAGTAAAATCGATAAACAAATTATATAAAACAAACAGATTATATAAATCCCTAATATTTAAACAGACTGCTGTACAAAAGGTGAACGAATAAGCATAAATAAATTGTCAACAAAATAAATCAGAAGAATATGACACAGTATACTGCTTAAAAAGAATTCTTATGTAACTATGCTAAAATATGATACGATCGGAAAAACGGCAATGACTTTTACAGCTGATTGCCACATAAATATTAATGTAACGCAAATATGATGATATTGCCTCGTACTGTTATATAGCAATTTGTTGTCACATTGCTGAAAGTTACTTGATGGAAATTCATTGTATCTAACAATAAAACAAGTATGCGTTTACATGTTATAGATTGTAACTGAATAAGTTGAGGAGGGGAAAACTGTTTGTCCCAAGCTGGTATTCAGAATTATGTCTGTATTTTGTAATTTGCCAATTTCCATAGGTTTAAATTTTCATGGATATCACTAGACTCGAGAGCAGTGTATGATTCCTTAGTTATGTTTTAAAGGATAGTAAAATAACCATCTAAATAATTATGCATTAGTTAATAACGTAACCTTTGTTTCTAACCCATTGTCAAATTCCTTTCTTACCGTGACCTAATGTTGTACGTCTTTTTAAAAAATGCCTTGATGGGCCCCTAGGCGAGAAGAGAGTGAGCCTGTTTACCTGTCTTTTGTTTTGTATATTTATTAATATAAACTCAAACAACTATTTGTACCATGTTGAGTCTGGCTGAATGACTAAAAGTCTATGCCAAAAAAATTTCATAGAATCTAAAGACTGCTTAAGGCCTTTATTATAAATATACTTTTTAGTAATGAAAATAAGTAAATAGAACCTAGAATATCCATGTAAAAGAATGTAATCTTTGATCTCTGGGATAAACTCATCTCCTGAACAATGGCGCCGATATATATGTAGTTAAAATTTTGTACACCTATTTTAACCTGTTTGTTTCCTTATTATCCATATATGAGTTGTGACCGATGTTACAAACTCATTTACTTTTTACAAAGAGTCTATATAAACTAAATACTTTGTCATTTTTTATGGAGTTCAACGTAGAAGCCTTCACGAAAATTTAAGTACTAATAAGACCACCGCAATCGGGCGTACCTTGGGTAATGAATAATTAATTAATTGGTTAATTCTTCAATCACTCGTCCAATATGAGTTTTGTCAAATCGGTCCTTTTTAGGACCAACTATTCTATAGAGATAAAGTAAACTATATCTAGAGATAAAGACAATTCATAAGCCTGATGGAAGGTGTAATAAATAAAGCAAATACTATATTGAGTAATTATATAAGCAAAAAGTTTATTAACTTTACATTAACATGAATAATATGATTGTCACTTAACTGGGTATTATACATACGCTCTACTTTACTTAAGCTTATTAGACATAAACGCTTAACACAAATGTGACGTATTTCTAGTGCAGTAAGCACATAGAGGGCCAAACCTAGGGTATTTGGTATAAAACTGATCGCAGAAGATTACATAATAAGTGCCGGCAAAGAAGCAAAGAAAAACTTAAAATGAGAGAGGACTCAAACTAGTCACTGCGGGAACATTTAACTATGTTGAGCTTGGATCCACTATCCACGTATAAAATAAACAATATTACGGCTCCCGATTGTGGATCTGAGCACAAAAACTCATTATAAAATTTTGACCAAAAATACTACAATGGCTAATATCTAAAGTCTGTAGACAAGCAAAGCAAAGACAAAGTTATCACTATGCTTTAACCTGGCAAAAACTCCAACGACCACAAAAGCTATCGGCCAA